CATTTAATCTTACAGACATATATAGAACTCTAATAATAATATACATTCTTTTTATGTATCTTGGTGCAGTCTCAAAAATTGATCATTTATTAGATCACAGAGAAAATATCTAATATCTATCTGATCTTAATCCAATAAAACTGTACTTTACTAACAAAAACAAAGACCACTCCATATAGCCTGTCCCACTAGCCAGAATGTAAAACTCTCTGGGGACCAAACCGAAGGATTACTGAAATGAGTCTTTTCTAGGAAAAGACTAGATAAATGAAAGGACCCCAAGGCATGGGGCTTCCCTGTCTTTAGTCATAGTGAAACATTACATAACATTATGTTACATTACAGAAACATAACAGCGACGAAGCATTGCTTTAGAAATGGGGTATACAGGACCTTAGAAGGTTCTGAAACCAGGTATTTCAGAAATATGAAAGCGATGGCAGTTTTCTCTTAAGTTTCTCCTTATCCATTCCACAACTGTGTCAGATAGTCTCCTACTTTTGAGAGAGAGCATGGCAAGAAGAGGGCTCTGGTAAAGAATATAGAATGCTTAAAGTGGTACTCATACCCATGCACATGCACACTTGTACGCACTACTCTTCAGCAAGAGGAGTGAGGAGAGAGCCGCTACTGTCCACGCTGTACGAGAGGCGCAGTGCAATTAGAAGCAGAAGGAAGGGGAAAGAAGTAAAACGGTGTTCCTTTGCAAATAATAGCATACCTCGAAAACCTCAGAGAATGAATGATAAAACTATGTCGAGCAATAAAGATGTCAGTCAAGTAGGAGGATATAAAACTAACATACAAAAATCAATATCCTTCATATACACAAGCAGTAAGCAGATAGAGGACATAATGGTAGAGAACAGCCCATGTACTACAGCTTCATGGTCACTTTTCAGATGCTATGCTCTATTCCTACTCCTTTTGACGTTCTCTAAAACCATTATTTTGCCCTCCCCAAGAAACATTTGACAGTGTTTTTAGACACTTTTGATTGTCACAAAGATGTGTGAAGGGGTGCTACTGAGTAGTGGCCAGGAATGCTGCTAGATATCTTACAGGAAAGCCCCTAATGATAAATAATTATTCAGTCCAAAATGCATTCATTTGTGCTGAGATAGATAAGCTCTGCCCTAAATATGTCTGATTTTTCATTGCCTGTATTTAGAATTGTGTGTGTTAAGGTTTCTATACCTTTAATTAACACATTAATTAATTATTCCAGTTTGGAGTGAGATAACAAAGAATGATAAAGAAGAATCAGTTTCCTTGTAATGGACAATAATATAAATAATAACTTATTTTGCATAGCACTGTGTCATTTACAGAGTTTCATAGACTTTGTCTTTATTTGATTGTCTTAATGTCTTTTTTTTTCCCCTTTTTGTCTTTTTTCATGACCGGCAACGGGTCGCAACCCTCAGTGTCGCGCCC